AGTGTTGGGTGTCCGATGCTAAAACAAATTTCTTCCCCAACCGTGTGCCGGGTCTAATCCGGATGGCGTCTGTAGCTTTTTTGTCCACCAAATCGTTCCGTGAAAGCCCCGATAGCGGGATTTGTATCAGATGTAGCAAAACCCATTCTGGGGACGGATGTTGTGAACTGCCGTCGATAGTTCTACTGACGGATTGCTTATTTGTCTCCATCGGGAGTCATGACGCCGGTTAGTGCAGGATTTGCAACACAGGGTTTGGCTCCGAAAGCGAGGGCATATATACCTTCCGGTTCACTTTAGCCGACACCCAGAATGCAGAGATGGTTGGGTGAGATAGTTTTGGAAGGCCACCGCCCGGGAACGGCGAGATTTTCCGTTGGCAAAGCAAATGGCCCTTGTACAACATGGCAGTACCGCGGCGATGGTGATATGACCTGTTTGAACTGCGGGACTACGTGCTCAGCCAGGTAATGGCTGCTGGCACATATGAGGCGCTCCCCCCGGTGCCGGGACGCGACGACGGATAGGTTTAAATTGCTTTTTTTGGGTTTTAGGATCGATTAAATTGAGTTGTGGTGGGTATCGGGAGGAGGGTTCCGGGGCGGGGGAGATGCATGAATCCGGGATGTCGTTGATCGGCACGAGCGCCCGTGAGCTCGTTGGTCGTGGTTTTTTGGGTTTATGTTTGGGAGTTGTTGCGAGACGGGTTTGCCTATGGTAGTGTTTTATTCGTTTTGTGGGTTTTGGGGATTAGCTAGTTTGAAACCGGTTGAGTGCAAACCAAGATAGGTATAATAGAATATCAGACTAACCATCTGAACATTATGAGCTCTAACTATCTCTGAGATTCTCACCTTTTCTACTTCCAATATCGTTTTCTGGTATTTCTTTGCGAGATCCGGCAACTGATGGGTCGCTCTAGCGTGGTAGGATGTGGGAATTTTGGTCGCTGTTGATGGGTGTCGTGCATTGTTTGATTGCTTTCACCATCCCCGGGAGCGATAACCGCATCGTAGTCCGTTTCGCTTGTGCAAATGGAGGGGGTGCAGGTGCAAAAAAAAAAGTGAAAAAAAAGCTCTTTGGCGGGGAATTGAACCCCGGTCGCCCGCGCTCAGAGTTAACTGACAGGCGGGAATACTAACCACTATACTACCAAAGACTGATATATATTGAGCTAAAGGACTCCCCAATAAATAGGCACAAATGTCTTGACCAGACCGTACCACAATCCCTTCTCTGGATGGCCCCCCTAGAGGTACGGCGGAGGAGATCGAGAAACGCGCCCCATGCCCCGGGAGCAGTGAGGTGCAATGGCCGTGGCTGATGAATGGTAGTATATTATCGGTCGGTTTTTCGGGGATCTGGAACCATCTATTGATAGCGCGGTGAGAAAGGCTCGGCCAGCAGAGGCATGACGAGGAGAATCTGACAAGAGTTTGGAAGAAAAAAAACCTGAGAAAGGGGGGCAGGTGGGGTAATAGAAACAAGAAACCTAGCCGATGGAGGAAACCGGATAGTGTTTTTCCGAAAAGAGTATAGCTGTAGGGGTCTTAGTCATCTAGATCTCATTGATGGCGATGATGCCCTTCAGAAATACTCTGCGGTCTGCACCTCCATCAACCAAGTAAATATAAGCAAATTCTTACAAATTTTTCTAACGCGTAATTTGCCAAATAAGAGTCCACTGTGGATTACTACAGTATTGAACAGGTATGCACAACAGTACAACAGTTAATGGTAGACCCCAGCTGTTGGGTCTTGGCAGCTCGCTTCGGAATGTGTTTCCACATTTTGGGTCGGTTGCACTCCCACAAGCTGTCGTGACATTTAGTCCGTTTTGGAATGTGGAACGCTAACTTGTTTTGGTGATCGGGACAGGAAAAACTTCATGGGTATGGAATCGCGTAGACTAGAATTCAGGATACCGATGCTGCGGAACCCGTACGGGTAAGCATGGCCGTGACAGTAGCCAGAGAGTCTGCATGTGTTTCCTTCCGATTACCAAAATAAGTTAGTGTTCAATATTTTAGAATGGACTAAATGTCTCGACAGCTTTTGGGATAAGATACAATCTTTCCCATGAATGTCTGCTCGCAGGGCTTGGTAGTTTAGTCTACTATCAGTTACCCGACCGTACCGGATCGCATTGTACGGTTACTTACCGTACCGTATAGTTCGGAATCTTCGAAAGATCGAGCTGCTGGCCATGATGCCGAAATTAAGTTATTGGATGCCTGTTTATCGAGATGAATTAAGGGACAAATATATATTACAACTAGATGCCCTCACCGTAAGTTAGGATTCCAGCAGTTCAGTCCCTATATCTATCGCCGCTATGCCGAATTAGCACTGGTATTCTTGTAGCTAATCTACTGTATGGTGATTTTACTATAATACAGCGAGTTTGGCTGAGTCACCGGATAAATCAACCCGATTTGGAGGCTATCGTTTAGGCACGTTAAATTGGTGGATACTAGAGGGATCTTGATTCCCATGGATGCCCCGCGAGAAAGCTCAAGGAGTGGGAGATTACAAGATATAAATCTACCAACAAAGTCTACTTTTAGGAATATCGCCGCTGATAAGGGCAAGACCTGGCTTACCTCGCTCAAGTTTGGTATTGCGCTCTCGTGCCCCGCTATCCGGGGCCAACAAAATCCGGTCAGACTTTGGGCTGGGAACGGGGGCGGAATGGCTTGTCTCAATCTCGGCGAAGAGTTAGGCTCGTGGTTCTGGTATGGATTAGATCTATTGGCTGCTGCCTCCAGGCACTGCCTAGAGGATCATTTCCTAAGGATATTTGATATCTGGGTGGCCGCAGCCATGGGGATTTCCCCAGGCCTTCTTACAAAGTATTCGCGATTCCTCCTTTAAGAGAGCGCTTAGAGATCTCGGTCGTGGGGGCCGTTAAAAGCACAAGAGAGGCGTGTGAATATTTTTTCAAGAGGATGGTACCAATCTCTCTTGTCTTTTGAGAAATGAATAATTGTGTATGGAGATGTCGGATCCTGAGCGCTATTCGGGGGTCTCCTGGTGCTTCGCTGTGGAGGGTGTGTTACTTTAAGGTTTACGGAGATATTGGGGGTCAAATGAGCTTGTACAGTACAGGTTAAATCCTACATATCAGGCTTTTTGCAGAGAGCAGGAAAATGTGTTGTACAGTAGCCACCACCACCGCTGGAAGAAAAAAATTTAGAGGAAGAACGTAACACTTCCGTCGAAGCTCTACATTTGAAGAAAACTTTAGAATTTATCTGTAACTGCTGAAATTCAATTAAGCCATCCTAATTTTTATGATGTCTATTGAGATTCGCAAAACTGGTTTTACCTACATGGTTTTCTGTCCCTTTTCATTTTTGGCGCCGAGTGGGCGGCCACGTCTTTTTGAGTCTGTTTGAATGTCAGGATACTCGAGTACCGGTACTGTACTGTACTTGGACTCGTGCCTCCGCCCCAAGAATTAGAACCTCTTTTGGAATAGTCGTCTCGGAGCCATAAAGAGTTTAGCGTTTGAGCCATTTCAAAGACTCTATTCCCGGTGGGACAAAAAAATACAGTGCTAGATAATGAGTGAGGGTTGCCGCTGCATGGCAGTCGCAGAGTGCAATCCCTCATGCTACAAGAGCAGTCTCGGGGCTATTGTCCGTGGCCCCCTTGGAGGCTACCGGTATTCAAAAGAGGTGCCAATTCTTGGCGCGGAGGCACGAGTATTGTGGAGATCCTTTGCGGTGGCATTACAGAACTGGTTTTTCTTGGCAATTTTGGAGAATGCCGGTCTTCGATATGCCCGGATGTCCATTTTTCCGGGATTGCACTCCCTGTCACGTCCCTGCGATCTCTGGAGTTCAATTTTTACCTTGGGAGGTAGAAATTCCAGAGATTGCATCGAAGCGAGTGCAACGCTCTCCCTTTCACTAGAGTTTGAGTCTTCGGTTGCACGCAACCCATCCAACTTTAAGCCTTCCATCTACTTTAATTTCCACTAATTACATTTCTTCTTAGAGACCGCTAAATAAAAGTCTATGAACGTCTAATCTCTCTTTCACAATTCAGTAATCCATGGATTACCAATATCACAAATCCCAATCTCTAGACATCCAAACGGGCCCTTAAGGTGGAAAAAAGTCTGGTAAAGGCAAAAATTTCAGAGGATCAAGAAACTCAGCGGAGTCTACGCTCTCTTGGCAGTGTCACACAACCGGTTGAGGATACTGTAGATTCGCCTCACTTACCCTACCAGCACCCTTAACACCCGTTACACACCCTTGCGGGCAACAAGTTCAACGGCACGAACCGTACTTGTACCTTTGCCTGCGGTACTCGGGGGAATTCCCTATAGTTCACCTCAGAAAATCCAGCTTCCTCCATTCAATCCTCTCGACCGACAGCATGATATACCGTCAAAAAGGTTAGTCTCCCTCCAGCAATTAAATATATGGGATGATTCGTTCTTGCAACCTATTAGTCACACGACCGTTTACTCGGAGGTGCAGCTGAGGCGGGGATCTCCAAATGGTCCAAATTATGCCCCCCTCGCCAGTGCACTTGAGGAACCGGAAAAAAAAAAGAGCCACACTGACTACTGGTGCTTTAAGAAAAACTTCTGGAATTCGCGGAGATGAATGCGGTATCGTATTAAGGGTTGTTGCCGGGCCCAAGTGGCCGTGCCCGCCGAGTTTCCTGGCTCCCATGCCGGATGGCCCGGGGATGGCCCCATTCTTCAACCGCGAAGACAAGAGTATAATTATGGGCTATATCCTTCTACTACCTCCCCTTCACCTTTGGCCCCCTCACCACCCATATCTAGTCTGGGACTTCCTAACAACCTAACACTTAAAGTAGGTCTTCCCACCCACCTGCTGTCAATTAGACAACAGTAACTAACACGAAAGCTACATGATCAAAATCTCAAAATAAAATCGCTAGTAATCTTCTCCTCTTCCCGCCCCCATTTTCCGGAAGCTGACACTAACTAAAACACTTTAGTGCTCCTAACTCCCCTTCCATTTCTCGCCTTGTTCTTAACACTCACTCGTACCGCCGCACTGGCGGATCCCCTGGCAGAAACCGACACCAGCGATCTTAGTAAGCGCGCTTGCGTTGCCAATGGCTGCGGCTGTGGTGGCGGCAAATATGAGGTGGGGGAGTATTGCGGGTACTGCATCACGCTGATCTCAGGCGCGCGCGGCGAGCTCTGTGAGGGTCACCTGTACCACTGCGATACCGGCGGGAAATGCTGTGATTATGGGACGGACAGCTCGTGCAGCAATCACAATGGCCCTTACCTCGGCGAAGGTGCGCGTCGGCTTATCTGAAGGATTGATTGGTATAAAAGAGGGGATGAAAATAGCGCATTGTCTTCCGATCGGTGTTTTCGATTTTCACCTAGTTTTAAGTGCTGATTATTTCACGGTTTTTTTTCATTGGGTTGCTCAGGATGATGCTTTCCGTTTGGTGGTGCGATGTATACCGAAGTAGGGTTTATTGGTTGGTTTGCAATGGTCTGAGTTGGTCATAATTACTCTCTTCGGAGGCAGTATGTTGAAGCGGGGCTGAGGATCACTTGATTGAGCATAATGGATGTTCTGCGCCACCCTCGAATACTAGCTGCTAGACTTCCGGCTAACAATGGATGAGATCGGGAGATTTCAAAGCCGTTTGGCAGAATTAACAGCTGTCCGCTTAACCCATCCCAGAAACTCATTGTGATCGGAATCACCAATATATTTGGTCGACTCTACGGCGGATAACCCCCCACTGGATCATTCTCCCGTACAGCTATCAAGTCAGAAGCCGGTGTGCTCACACCCTTTGCCGGAGTAATTACTGGTATCGTCTCCTGCTAGTTGTTTACCGATTTACCTCGGTGTCCTCCTACATCCCCAACTCCAGTCTCTACTGCCACCATCCATGCCGCCGGCGATCTAATCACCCCTCCCAATGCGGTGTACAAATTCTAGTTCATCTCCCCTCAGGAAGTGATCATCTTCTTCGCCGGTGTCTCTGACTGTATTTACATCTATTGAAAATGGAATCTACGTTACTATTGCGTTGTCCGCTGGGGTTATGTGATTCATGATTGCGATAGCGAGGGGGTATCTGCTGGGTAAAGTTGAGGTCTGCTCAGTCACAGGTGATGGTCTATATGGTGTCGAAAACAGCAGTGACCGAGGAAGCGGAGTCATGCTGTATAATGCGCCAGGAGAACTAGTGACGGGCGGCGCCGCGAACAAGACTTCGGCCCGCAGTCCCGAGAATAACTGTGGTAGAAACCCTTGATTAGCACTAGATCTTAGAGATGGCTCAAACCCAAGCTTAAGGTCGTAAGCCCATATCCAAGAATCTTCATTTACCGCTTCTCGGAAGGTAATCTCCTCACTCTACCCTCCTGTCCTGATAATCCCCAACTAATAATGCCCAGGCTTCTTCTATGCTAACGCCTCCCATTACACCGAAAACCTCGTCCGGCACATCTTCTCCGCCTGCCGACCTCACGCGTCCACAACAATCATCGACGTGGGAGATTGAGCCTGGAATGATCTCCCGCCCAAGGCCTCAGCCATGCCGCCACCGACACGGGGCCCTGCTCCGCGTGGTAATCCTAGGCTTCGCCTCGACGAACATAGTGGAAATTAACTCCGTGCAGAACCTCATTGGCGTGCGCAAGCCACTAGATTGGTACGTCGCACCCGACATGGGAGAATGGCGGTTGGCCCCTATCGGGTCTCGCTGTGGGAAGCGTGCCTTGACCACCGCTGGATTTGGATTCCACAGTGACACAGAAAGAGGTATGATAGTAAAAAGAAAGTCGGATGGGCTCCTGTATTCGCAGTTGCCAGTATTGAAGAGACAGTAGTCGTTTATGAAAGAGCCTAGGAGAAGAAGGGCTTTGACGAGGAGGGTGGGAGACCGCTTAATTGGAGCCGAGGAGGATGGGGTCAGAAGGATTGGAATACCAACTAGTGCTGGTAACGGAGGATCCTCGTCGTCGTTGGTGGGATTAATAGGCTGTTTTTCCATGTTGATATTGATGAAGCTTTGAAGCGCTATCGCCTCGATCCAGAGTTGGTAGATTTTTTTCTTCTCCTCTTCCTTTCTTTTTGCTTCTGCTAGAGAATCTGTTTCTCTTCTATCCTGTTCATTCAATTGGCATTTGGTATTTTTCTTTTTTTTTTAAACCACATGAAACAACAAGTTAATTCCACCCTATACCATATCATACTCTCGTTTATTTTCGCGAAGTAAAATGCGCCTCCGGATCCATTTTTGGAATAAAATGTTACGGGGAATTCGAAGACGAGCTAGCAAATACTGCACAAAAGTGGACAAAAACCTTAAGGCAGCATGTCGTAATGCTACTACTGTAGAGGTATAATAAAGTACACGCATCATGTTTCAAGTTCCCACCCTCTTGCCCAGTGCCCGGATCCATTCGCAAACACCTCCTCGCAAGAGGATACAAACTTATGCAGGAGTTGGCTATGCGTCGATGTGAGTTAGTGGTTCACATCGCGTACTAATACATAGATGAGTAGGATAGTGCCCCGTTGATCCTACAGTCACAGCGACCACAATTCAGAAGATGGCAGTTGGGCTTAATACAGCACTCTACCGTGCTACTATACTATACTATCCTATAATATCCGGTATCTAGCAACCCCAGAATCCTGGACAGCCATGAAACGATAAACAAAGAGCGCCACTTGATAAATACAGAGCCATAGTACATTCAAGGATATTGTACACCCCTCTAACTAAACGATGGCATCTCGCTTACAGTTTGCGTAGAGGGGGTGCTCTCAAGTCCATCCGAAGTACAGAATCTCATTCGGTGCACGTGTGGCAATCCGTGTTGGAGCATCCTTCCATATCGGGGATGGTTCCGGATATTCAAGCCCGCGATGTGGCAGTGATGTGGCGGCGAGTGAGGCCGCGTGAGCTTGGGTAATGGTGGTTAGGTCTTTCCTACATAACTAGTTGGGCTCTCACCCCACCTCCCCTTCTTGAATACAGCCCTCAGTCGTTTCAACAATCTGCGTCATGTGGTAGCCCGACAAAGGCACACCAAGATTGCGGGTTTTGTTTTCTCTTTCTTGAATCCATTATATTTCCTCAGATACCTTGTAACTCAGCTTTGAAAAAAAGAAAGCAAAAACAACATAGCACCTCTGAAGTATGCCAATATTAGATTCATTTCACTCTTTTTTGTCCCCAGCTCGTGCGGATGTGTGGAGACGTGGACTCGGTAGGGTGTGTTGCAAAGTATTATCTTTCTCATTTCAAACCCAAGTTCTGTGTCTTGACAAGTATCATTCCTTGAGGGAAAGGGTGCTCCACTCCTCACCTATCCAGAAAGCGTAGAGGTGGGAATATTTTTCCACACACTTTTGTGTGGGTGTTATTGGAGTGAATTATATTTTGAATTTTTTTTCAATGCAGTTTTGGTCATGGTGGATGGGGAATGATGGCTGGGAAAATACCTTCGGTTTTTGGTGTGTTTTGGTTTCTGTCTGCCTCATCCGTCCATGGGATACTAGTGAACGAAACAGGGTTGCTATCAAATTTCCCAATCATATTGCGGCATACTACAAGTGACGGACGGCATGCTTCGTTAATTGCGCCTACCGTCTCCCTACCACCTGTACGGCCCTACCCGGTCCCGTAGCTGTGGTGAGGAAATATATGCTACCTTTTCAAAACCGGGAACGCGCTAAATCTAGGACATAATAGGGCCAGATTTCTTTCCCCGCAAGGACAGGGAACCAAATATATTGATCAACAAGCAACATGGCGCAGAGGAAGCACGTGCGGCTCATAACCCAGAGGACACGCGATCGAGATATGCTGTTGCCACGAGATATTTTTCGTTTTTGCAGACAGAAGGGGTGGTGGTTCAAATCGGCGGGTGCGGGTTTGTTTTTATCGTTGTTTCTCGGCTCCCTTTCCTCCATGGCAGAAATAAAAATCCCGAAAAAAGTACGAATTGTTGAACGAGGTCTCCCATGTAACGTACTGTAGAAAACATTTAAACTAGAAACCACAGTTATCACGAATTGGGATGAGCAGTTGTTTGCCATCCGAGATCAGCGGAAATTCTATGACACATGCAACGCAAATTATCGTTTTTCCACCTTCAACCACAGCCCTGCCATTCTTTCTCCCTTTCCCAAACTGTTCCTACGTCTGCATGTGTACTTAACCCATGCATGCACAAATGCCGACATAGAAAAGAAGCACAAAAGGTAAGAAAACGCACAGACCAGCGCTTAATTTGACCAACCCATCTGTTACAGTCGGAAGATTCTATTTCCGCTGAAATCCCCTAAGCTGGCGACTGAAACCCCCAACTGCTCATGATAAATTCGAAATCTGGCCTGCTTTAACACTCTATCATTCTAAATCCCCTTTGCAAACGGCTAACCTTCCTCCCCGTGCATAGCGAGCGATGTCCAGAGGTGGGCGCGGCGGTTTCTCCAGTGGTCGTAAATCTGGCGGAGGAGTATGAGGAGGCATGGGCGGTCCGGTCGGTCACGACCCGGATAATCCACGGGACTACAGTACTATCAAGCTCTTTCCCGTATCTCCACCCTCTCTACCTACCTCTACCGCACATGCAATGGCCAACTGACGGAACCAAAACAGCTACAACCACCACCGTTCTGAACCCCTTGAGTAAGGAGCGATGCCACATAGTAGGGCGCTACCGCCTGTATCGTGGCAGAATCTATAATGGCTAGCTATACGCGGTCATGGGCAAGGGGCGTGGTGTGGAGGACCCGTTCAACAACGTGAGCAAGTACTCAGCCAAATATAAGCGGCAGAAGCGCAGGGTGCCCAAGTTGGATTCTTGGCCATACATTAAGGAGTTCTTCCCCGAGGAACAGTGGGACCCATTGGGGATGATGGTGATGGCGATGTGGAGGATTGTAGAGGTAAAGAGAAGGGGAAGAGAAAACAACTAGTGATGGCCACGATCGGGTCGTGATCGAGTTTTGCTCGAGCAGGTCATGCTCGATCACCCTCGATAATAAGGGTCACTCGATCAGATTATGCTCGAGCAGGACCCTCATGATCGGTCATGATTGATGACTCTATCAATACCGATACATATATCTGTCCTGGAAATGACGCGATATCTATTAATATGATCATTGTCTGCACCACACACTCAATATCATGTCCCTGATAATGCACTTCACCGCCAAACCCCCAACATGCCTGACCCACCAATTAACTTGTCTAAAATGCCCTTGATCTAGACGATGATCTCATGAAATCCCAACTTGAAGTTGATATCCACTTCCATGAGCCAAGGGTAGACCGGAATATAGATATTATCGAGTGGTTGAAATTCCGCCAACAACGGCTACCAAATATTGCGTCAATGGCCTCTGGATAGCCTGTTGACTCACACTCTTGCAAAGTGTTCCATCAGAGCACCTGCGGTTGGAGGCTATATTTTTACATGAAAAAGGAAATGATAATCAGCTACTCAAGTATGCTCGATCACTGCTCGATCACTCGATCAGGGTCTCCCAATTTGCTCGATCATTCGATCATGGGGTCTTCTCGATCAGACTATGCTCGAGCAGAACACCTATGACCTGCTCGATCATGATCGTGGCCATCACTAAAAACAACTGATGTTTTCAGCGCTCGATGTTTTTGGTGGGTTGGATGAGGAGGGGGAGGAGGATGAGGATGATCGGGGGGGCGAGGCTGGAGAGGGATCTTGGAATGGGAAGAAGAGGGTCCTGCAAAGGTCGCAGGATGAGGATGTTGGTGACGATGATGACGATGATGACGATGAGGTAGCGGAGGAAGAGGAGGAGGCCGTGGATGATTTTCGCGATGAGGAGGAGGGGTACTATGATGCTGAGATGTACTGTACTGATGGTGAGGATCATGGTGGGGATGATTGGGGGGACGAAGAGGGTGGTGAGGAGTATCACTAGACAGATGAACCGGGGAACTACGAAACGTGTCTTTGATTTCTCTGTTGTATTGATACCTATTTCAACCACTCATTCTCAATGTTTTCCCCTTTTTGTTTCTTTTTTGGAATTTCTTGTCTTTTTTTTCTGTTTTTTGAGATCTCGGGGCAAATAGCACCTCGTAATACTTTGAGCCACTCAGACTAAGGACGAGAAACAAAAACAAAAACAAAGTGTCCCCTATATTTGCGCCAGGGGCTCTGCTAGCCCCGCACGCCTCCCGCTGATGGGATTCCCAAACCCGGGGAGTCAGCTGATCCAGTGTGTATTCGCACCAAGCTCTCCGTCCGCACTGACATCCTTCAGTAGGGCCTCTGGGGTGTCGTTGTTCGTCTCTCTGTTAGCACTTTGATCTGCATTAGATTTCCAATCCATCCTCTGGTCATCTTCCCTCCTAACCCATGGTTTCTCCGGTGGCTCCTCCTGGTATAAAAGCTCTCTTATTGACTTCCCACCGTTGCGGGGCCTAGTGGTATTCCGGGCTCTTTTGGACTCTGCTCGAACCTTGCCTACTCCGGTGGGATTGCAGATCTTGCCCATGTTGTGCCTGATTTCAAAAGGGTCCGCGATGGCAAACGGGTGTCTATCCTTTATCTGCGTATGCCCACTCCTCCCCGTCCTACCAACAGCCGTAACCCAACCCTTACCTTACTTACTAAATATGAAGCCTTGGGTCCGGATAAAGATGACCTCTCTTTCCCATTGGAACCTATGCGAATAGTATTCAAAGAAGCTATGGAGGAGCTGGCCGACATGCATTTGGTTCGTGGTCTTGGGAAGAGTTTTGATATCTTTAGCATACCACACATGATGCTCTCTTTCGCCACCCTCATCAAATATCTGGTCAGGCGGCGCGTATTCGGGGATCGCGGTGTTCTGCCGATTGATGAAAACAGGGGGGTCAACCACTTTGATCAGGAAATGGATTATCATGAGAAGGTAGCCGTAAGAAGAAACGGTACCACGGTATGGGCTATGGATATGTCTTCTCTTGGCCCACCACTGGTATGTGATAGGGTCAAGTTCACAAAGTTCTGAGCTGCCAAGGGCATTAAGAGGTTAGAATTGCGGTGCGGGCGTAAATACCTTTATAAAAAGAATAATATCCTTGACTGTTGGATCGCATCGACTATGTGTGCGCGGCGTCCTTGTATTATGCACTCTCAGGTCGTTATTAAACCCGATGTCGCAACTCAAGTCACATGAATTCCCAAGTAGTCGTCGCTGAGTACTTGTAACCAGGAGGCATTTCAGCCTTGTTTCCAATGTGGAGAGAAAAAACAAAAGGCTGCAACGTGAGAGCAGGAGTTCAAAACCCATGCATATGATACACAGCGGTAAAGAGAGAAGGGACGCTGAAGAGGGGAAGGGAAGACAATTGGGAGGGTTTGCTAAGAGACTGCAAGTGCCAAGACCCCCGTTTTACAATGTCGCTGTGACAACGCACTAAATGTTAGTATGGTGATAAGGAAAGTGCTGTTATCTGAAATCTGTACCCGGGTTAACATATCCCAAATAACGGTGGGTTAAGGATAAAAATAACACTAGCAACCGCTGCATGTATCGCAGCGCAGCTCAAGTACTTGCAGTATCTGAAAAAGAGTATTCTCACAACAGACTTCGGCTGAGATTAGATTTCAACTCGTCAAGCAGCTAGTGATTCTTTGTTCCCAAATCTTCTTCCATTGGCACAAGCTGCTTCCGTCATTTGGAATTTGAGAACAACCAGACCCACCGTTGGTGCCAAGGCTTGGTCATTGTCGTTATCTTATCCCGCCTGTAAAACCTCCCTCACAGCGCGGTTTAGCCGGACCTTGCTATCAATGTTTCATGCTAAATTTCAGAGCGAGTTCTCAAGAAAATTTGATTGCTGATCTGGTGGATTTAGCCAACCTGTACTAAGCTACAACACAGTTGATGAGGTAACTGTGGCAGGTGAGATATCAAGCATCGTCAGGCAAGCGGTCACGTTGGGGTGCTTCAGGACGGGTCTTGGGGGATGAGGATTTTGGTATGGCAGGTTTCGCGACTTGGAAACACACTAAACCATCGGGGCTGTTCGCTGATGGGGATTGACACATTGGAACAGGCAAGAGCACAATTGTGAATGAACATCGTCTAGGTAAACTGCTCTAATACCCCGCGACAAAACCCGACCCACAAAAAGCGGCAAAAACAGCACCGAAAGAGAAAAAGAGTCCACCGAAAGCGCAAAGGAGTCCCACCCCTCGCCCACCTACCCGCCACTGCACCTCACCACACCAACCCCCCCCCCCTCGTCCTGTGTGGATCCACTAAAGTATTATTAGTATCTCCTTTGTAGAATGCCACTCGTGAGTCATGACATTACCTTGATCCTCATGTTTGAAGCTCGAGTAGGCACCAGTACGCGGCCCGGGTGGAATTTGTGTGATCGTACAAGAGATAGTTGGACCCAGGGTCCTCCCTTTTGAATGCCGCCAAGAAGACGGCAAATCTCCGGTAGAATTCCTCTGCCCCGCGTGGGTCGTTCGCTTTGACCCTGGCATGGAGATTCAATACCTCTATCATTTCCTTGTGGGCTGGAGAGGTTAGCTTTAATGCTGGCACTTAACTTGATCAGGTAGCGAGGGTTACTTACTGATTGCCTTGACCTCAGCGGGGTGAAGTCCGTACAGTTCCTCAAATACGTACTGATCTTGTCGTCGCCCTTCGCCATCATACAACAAGGCATCAGTGGCAGCATCTCCCGAATGTGCTATGACGTTGCTCTCTGCAATGAAATTCCGGTCCGACTGGTTGAGGGTCTCTTTCATTATATCCCGTTTAAAGACTGAGAGAAATCTATTCCGAACCCTTTTATAATCAGGCCCCGCAAGCTTCAATATGGATACAGAATCGTTCAGCTCAGCGATCTTGGCCTTGTCTTCCGCATTTTCCTCCTTAACTGTACGGAGTTCCTCCTTGACTGTACGGAGTTCCTCCTCAACTATACGGAGACGCTCCGGAACACCAGCGGGACCAAGACCCCGGGGATTACCAACGTAAGGTTCTCCTATCACATCACAAACCTCGAGTTCCTCCTCTTCTAAGCTTTGTTTCAGCTCATCATAGGCCTGACTCCTCATGTCATCCACGCTACCGATCGTCGATTGGGTAACGAGTATTGCGTCACATGTTGGATCCTCTTGATCCACTAGAAAAGTCTCCATGCGATTCTGATTCTCCTTTAGGCGTTGGACCAACTCTGAAACTTTCCCAGTAGGATCAAGTCCAGCGTCCTTGCATTGTTGGCGAAGATCCCTCAACTTGGGAGCCATGATTGTTGCTCGACCGTTAGTGGCTAAATCGTGAGGTTGAAAAAACTTGGTCACTTCTCTCGGACGAGGCAAACGTACTCCTTTTGTACTAAACCTTGGCTACGCTAAGCCTAATCTTGCGCTAGGCCGCCACATGATTATTGTGCCCAGCTTTCTACGACTGCGGCCGATAAATATATTGGTCAAGTGCCTTATCGAAGGACAGATCGCCACTAAAAGGGGCACCGAAATTTGCTTATCCGACTCACGTGACAAATATATCTGTCGGCCGCCCTTATATACTCGAGTAGAGGAGTGGAAGCCGAGATTGTTGCAACATGAACATGGCGCACCCCATGGACTGATGAGACATGCACATTCTTGCCCTTCCTGATCGCGGTGTGGCCTAGTGACTTTGCCCGTCAAAAATCATGAAATATCAAGTAGTTTGTTTGTGGAAAAGTGACTTAGCCACAGTGCAGAGTTACCGGATATGGAAGGTCCAGAATCTCTGTGTCTCATCCCGCCATGGGATACTAGTGAACGAATCATTGTTGCCACCAAATTTCGCAAGCATATTGCGCCATACTACAAATCACGGACGCCATACTTCCTTCATTGCACCTGCTGTCTCCCCACCACCTGTGCGGGCCTACCCAGTCCCATAGATGTGGTGAGGATATATATGCTACCTTTTCAAAACCGGGAACGAGCTATACCTGTAGCATAATAGGGCCAGATTTCCATCCCGTCAAGGACAGGAAACCAAATGTATTCATCAACAAGCAACATGGCGCAGAGGAAGCGCGCCGGGCTCATAATCCGAAGGACACACGATCGAGACATGCTGTTGCCCAGATATATTTTTTCTTTTCTGGTGACAGAATGGGTGGTGGTCCAACTCGGAGCGTACGAGTTTTTTTTTTATTGTTGTTTCTCGGCTCCCTTTTCTCCATGGCAGAAAACAAAAACGGCAAAGAAAATCCCTAAAAAAGTTAGGAATCATTGAATGAGGTCCCCCATGTAACTTACTATAGAAAACATTTAAACTAGAAACAACAGTTACCGTGAATTGGGATGAGCAGTTCCTTGCCATCCGAGATCGGCGGAAAATCTATTACACACCTAACCCAAATTAACGCATCTCCACCCCCCCCCACAGCCCTGCCATCCCCCCTCCTTCCCCCAAACCGTTCCTGCCTCTCCATGTGTACCTAACACACGCACGCACATATGCAGACATAGAAAAAAAGCACTAAAGATAAGAAAACGCACAGGCCAGCGCTTAATTTGACCTACCCATCTCTTACACTCGGAAGATTGTATTTCCGCTGACAACCCCTAACCCGGTGACTGTAACTCCCAACTGCTTATGATAAACTCCAAATCCGCCCTGGTTTAACGCTCTATCTTGACAAATCCCCTTTACAACCGGCCAACCATCCTACCCGAACATACCGCGAGATGTCCCGCGGTGGCCGCGGCGCTTTCTCCAGCGGTGGTAAATTTGGCGGAGGAATAGGAAGAGCCATGGGCGGTCCGTTCGGTCACGACCCGGACAACCCACCGGACTACAGTACTACCAAGCGCTTTCCCATATCTCCTGCCACAAAAAGCGCCCAAACAGCCACAAATGATAAAAGAGAGCACCGAAAGCACAAAGGAGTCCCTCCCCTCTCCTACCCACCTGCCACCCCGCTCACCCACCACTCCACTCACCCGCCACCCCGTTCACCCGCCACCCCCTTTCCTTTGTAGATCCACTAAAGTATTATTAGTATCTCCTCTGTAGAATGCCTCTGGTCGTGACATTACCTTGATCCTCATATTTGAAGCTCGTGTAGGGACCAGTACGCGCCGCAGGTTGCCTTTAGCTGACCGTACTGTAGGTAGTTACACCCAGGGTCCTCCCTTCGGAATGCTGCCACGAAGACGCCGGATCTTCGGTAGAATCCTTCTGCCCCTGGCTGATCGTTCGCTTTGACCCTGGTGTGGTGATTCAGTATCCCGATTGTTTCCTTGTGGGCTGTAGAGGTTAGCTTCAATGCTGGTACTTAAGTTGATCAGGTAGCGTGGATTAATTACTGATTGCCTTGGCCACAGTGGGGTGTAGTCAGTAAAGTTCCTCAAAGAGGTACCAATCTTGTCGTCCCTCTGCGCCATCATACAACAGGGCATCAATGGCTGCATCTCCCGAATGTGCTACGACGTTGCCCTCTTGAATGAAATTCCAGTCCGACTGCGCGAGGGTCTCTTTTATTTTCTCGCATTCAAAGACGGAGAGAAAGCCGTTGCGAACTGTTTTATACTCAGGCCCCGCAAGCCTCAGTATGGATACATATTCGTTCAGCTGGGAGGTCTTAGCATTCAGCTCACTGATCTCACCTTTCAGCTCGGCGATCTCGGCCTTGTTTCCAGCATTTGCCTCCTCGACTATACGGAGATGCTCCGGAACACTAGCAAGACCAAGACCCCGGGGATTACAAACGTAAAGTTCTCCCATCACCTCACGAACCTCTAGTTCCTCCTCTTCTAGTGTTTGTTCCACCTCATGAGGGGCGACTCTCTTCATGTCATCCACGTTACCGATCATGGATTGAGTAACGAGTATTGCATCTCATGTTGGATCCTCTTGATCCGCTGGCAAAGTTTCCATGCGATTCCGATTCTCCTTTAGGCGTTGGACCAACTCTGAAACTTTCCCGGTATGATCAAGTCAAGCGTCCGTGTATTGTTGTCAAAGATCCCTCAACTTGGGAGCCATGATTGTTGTTCGACCGTTGGTGGCTAAATCGTGAGGTTGAGGAGGCTTGGTCACTTCTCTCTGACGAGGCAAACCTACCCCTTTTGTACTGAATCTTGGCTACGCGAAGCGTAATCTTGTGCTAGGCCTCTAGATGATGACTGTGCCAAGCTTTCTATACTGGAGTAGAGGAGAGGAAGCCGAGACTTTTACAACATGAACATGGCGCACCCCACGGACTGAATAGACATGCACATTCTTGCCCTTCCTGATCGAGGTGTGGCCTAGTGACTTTGCCCGTCAAAAATCATGAAATATCAAGTAGTTTGTTTGTGGAAAAGTGACTTAGCCACAGTGCTGAGTTACTGGATATGGAAAGTGCAGAATCTGCATGCCTCATCCGTCCATTGGATACTAGTGAACGAATCATTGTTGCCATAAAATTTCACAATGATATTGCGGCATACGACAAGTGACGGATGGCATACTTCGTTAATTATGGCTGCTGTCTCCCTACCACCTGTGCGTGCCTACCCGGTCCCATGGCTGTGGTGAGGATATAGATGCTGCCTTTTCAAACCCGGGAACGAAGCTAAACCTAGTGCATAACAGGGTCAGATTTCCTTCCCGTCAAGGACAGGAAACCAAACCTATTCATCGACAAGCAACATGGCACGGAGGAAGCAAGCCCGGCTCATAACCCGGAGGACACACGATCGAGACATGCTATGGTCAAGACATTTTTTTGTTTTTGGCGACAGAATGGGCGGTGGTTCAACTTGGCGGGTGCGAGTTTTTTTATTATCGTTGTTTCTCGGCTCCCTTTCCTCCATGGCAAGAAGGTAAAACCCCCAGGAAAAAGCACGAGTGGTTGAATGAGGTCTCCCAGCAAACTTACTGTACAAAACATTTAATCTGGAAACAACGGTTATCATGAATTGGGATGAGCAGTTCCTTACCGTCCGAGGTCAGCCGAAATCTATTACACATGCAATCCAAATTAACTTGTTTCCACCTTCCACCACAGCCCTGCCATTCTTTCTCCCTTTCCCAAACTGTTCCTGCCTCTGCACGTGTACCTAACCCACCCCCGCACAAATGCAGACATAGAAAAGAGGCACAAGAGATAAGAAAACGCACAGACCAGCGCTTAATTTGACCAACCCATCTGTTACGATCGGAAGATTGTATTTCCGCTGAAAAGCCCTAACCCGCCCACTGAAACCTCCAACTACTCATGATGAATTCGAAATGCGCCCTGCTTTACCACTCTATGTTTACAAATTCCCTTTGCAACCGGTCAACCTTCCTATACGAGCGTAGCGAGAGATGTCCAGAGGTGGGCCCGGCGGTTTCTGCAGCGGTTGTAAATCTGGCGGGGGAGTAACAGGAGGCATGGGGGGCCCGTCCGGTCACGACCCGGATAATCCACCGGACTACAGTACAACCAAGCTCTTTCCCGTATCTCCCCCCTCTATACCTTCCTTTACAGCACATGCAATGGCCAACTGACTGAACCAAAACAGCCACAACCACCCCCGTTCCGAACCCCTCGAGTATGGAGCGATGCCACATAGTAGTGCGCTACCGCCTGTATCGCGGCAGAATCTATAATGGCTAGCTATACGCGGTCATGGGCAAGCCGCGTGGTGTGGAGGACCGGGTCAACGACGTCAGCAGGTACTCAGCAAAATATAAGCGGCAGAATCGCAGGGTGCCCAAGTTGGATTCTTGGCCGTACGTTAAGGAGTCCTTCCCCAAGCAGCTGTGGGGCACATTGGGGATAGATGGTAAGGGCGATGCGGGGGATTGTAGAGGTAAAGAGAAGGTGAAGGCGAAATAGCAAATTTCTTTGGCGCTCGATGTTTTTGGTGGGTTGGGTGAGGAGAGTGAGGAGGATGAGGAGGATGGGGGGGCGAGGCTGGAGAGGCTGGCGGGACGGGAAGGAAGGGGGTCCTGCAAAGGTTGCAGGACGAGGATATTGGTGATGATGATGGCGATGATGACTATGAGGTAGCGGAAGAAGTGGCGGAGCCCGAGGATGATTTTGACGATGATGAAGAGGCGGACCATAATGCTGAGATGTACTTTAATCATGGGGAAGATGGTGGTGGGGATGATTGGGGGGACGAAGGGGCTGGTGAGGACTATCACTAGACAGATGAACCCTGCAACTACGAAAGGTGTCCTTGATTTCTCAGTTCTATTGATATCTGTTTCAACCACTCGTTCTGAATTTCTTTCCTTTTTCTTTCTTATCTGAATTTCAAGTCTTTTTTTTCCTTTTTCGAGATCCCGGGGCAACCTGCACCCCGCGATGCTCCGAGCCACCCAGACTAAGGAAGAGAAGAGAAAACAAAATCAAAGTTTAGCCTATATTTGGGCCGGGTTCTCTAGCAGGCCCCCACGCCTCCCGATGATGGGATTCCCAAACTCGCGGTGTCACCTCATCAAGTGTGTATTCCCAGTAAGCTCTCTCTCATCACTGACCTCCTGCTGTAGGTGTTCTGCGGTATCGTTGTTCGTCTCTCTGTTAGCACTTTGATCTGGGTTAGATTTCCAATCCATCCTCTTGTCATCTGCCCACCCAACCCATGGTTTCTCCGGTGGCTCCTTCTGGTATACATGCTCCCTCATTGACATCTCACCATCACAAACCCTCACTATGTTCCAGGCTCTTTTGAACTCTGCTCGAACTCTGTCTACTCTGGTGGCATTGCAGATCCTGCCCACGTTGCGGCTGATTTCGAAAGGGTCCGCGATGGCAAACGGGTGTCTATCTTCTATCTGCGTATCCCCGCCCCTCCCCAGCCTAGTAACAGCCGTAACCCCACCCTTACCGTACTTACTAAATATGCCGCCTTGGGTCCGGATGAAGATGACCTCTCTTCCCCATTGGACCCTATGTGAATAGTATTCGAAGAAGCTATCTAGGAGCTGGCCGACATGCGTTTCGTTCGTGGTCTTGGGAAGATTTTTGATATCTTTAGCATACCACACATGATGCTCTCCTTCTCCCCCCTCATCAAATGTCTGGTCATGCGGTGCGTCTTCGGGGATCGTGGTGTTCTGCCAGTTTCTGAAAACAGGGGGGTCAACCACTTTGATCAGAAAATAGATTATCATGAGAACGTAGCGGTAAGAAGACACGGTACCACGGTATGGGCTGTTGATATGTCCTCTCTTGGCCCACCACTGGCATGTGATAGTGTCGATTTCACAAAACTCTGAACTGCCAAGGGGATTGAGAGGTTACAATTAGGGTGAAAGCGTAAACACCGCGGGAAAAGGAACCATTTCCTTGACTGTTGGATCGCATCAACTATGTGTTTGCGGCGTCCTAGTATTATGCACTCTCATGTCGTTATTAAACCCGATGTCGCAACTCAAGTCAAATCAGTTCTCACCTGCAGCCTTCAGTGTTATCTTCATTATAGGTACACGGGTCTTTAACAGTAGCGCAAACCTCGAACCCCACAGACTAAAATTCTTTCGAAAGATTATGGGGAAGACAATTTGATTCGTCACTCTTGTCGGGGGTGCAGAAAACGTTCTCCAGATTGGGAGACAAGAGAACGGCGTCACGGTCAGACTTCGTAATTTCGAATCCAACTATGGTACCAAAAGAATAACACCGAGCAAGGCAATCAAATTAGAGATGTATCATCTGATATGAACCAAACTGGGTGCAAGGTACGCAGTCAAGAAAAAGTTGAGAAAAATGAAAGGCGTAGCACTTACTCGGTAGACTTCCGACGGGAATCAACTCCCCTTCCATGAAGATCCTTTGGCAGTGTAACGACCCTACGTTATAGAGGTATGGTAACCTATGTGTACGCCCATACATAAGACCATGAGGTTGGATGGTAGACTAGGCAGGCATGCGAGAGCATGTCCAAGGGATATCCGATGGTCCGGGTAACCGTGCCAAGGTTGCGGCATGCCGCCGCAACCCCCGGATGTTCGCTGGCTTACAACCTGGGGCACTCTAAAGAGTGCCTGCCAGATCAACACAACTTTGTGGCTCAACACAACTTTGTGGCTTACCATAGTAAATTTGCGGCTCAACACCACTTTGTGGCTCAAAAAAAATTTGCTGCTCAGCATAACTGTGAGACCCAATATTATAATACATATTTTGATAAACAACAACTTGAAGCTGTATGAACCAACTCCACATACCAACCTTTAAAACAAAATATGCCACCAGCTCCAGCCTTTGTCCTACCAAGCCAGCGGGTCAAGCCCTGCGAAGAGGGGGAGATACGCATCCAGGCTGCTGTTTCCTTTATTCAAACACCAGCCGACCAGCAAATCAATATTGCCGAAATTGTACACACCTACAAGATTCCTATTACGAGACTTCGAGGACGTTTTCAGGGACGCCAGTCTTGACAGGACCCCACTGGTGCAAACCGCAAGCTCTCTGAAGACCAGGAATTGGCTGTATGCCAGTATCTTGATCATCTTGACACAATTGGTACAAGTGCCTGCATACAAATGGTCACAAGCTGTGCCAATGCAATCCTAGGATATGGCCATATTGGATTAGGTCCTCCATCCCATGTTGGTGATCACTGGGCACCACACTTCCTTGATTGTCATCCGGAATACCATATTCAAAAGCCGAAAACGATTGATTCAGACTGACAAAATGCACACCAACCAGATAACATTCGCGTCTAGTTTGAGAAATATATTACAATATGCCAAGAGCATAATATAGAACAAGGAGATATATACAACTTTGATGAGACCAGTTTTTGTATTGGAATTGGCCGTGACCAATGGATCATTACAAGGGATCCCAACAGACAGTGTTATTTGGCTAGCTCCACTAATAGGGAGCTTGTTACTCTTTGTGAAACAATCAGTGGTGATGGAGCTGTTTTGCCTCCCATGGTTATAGTTCCTGGGGTAATTCACCAGGAGGCTTGGTAAACGGCTACTAGTATTCCCGATAATTACCTTCTTCCAACATCTGAAAAAGGTTACAGCAACGATGATCTCTCGCTCGACTCGCTTGTCCATTTCCAACGCCACTCCTCTGAATGTCAAACTGGTTCCTATCGACTGTTACTACTTGATGGTTTTGGCTCACATTGTACGAAGCAGTTTATCGACTACTGTGATACCTATAAGATTGTGGTTTTTTGCTTGCCCTCTCATTCAAGTCATCTTCTCCAGCCATTGGATGTCGTTGTATTCCAGTGTAACGTATTAGCACCAGGGTGCTAGTCACGCTTCCGGGTATCATAGGAGTAGTGTACAAGTTGATCTACAACCTATGGGCGTACTGCGCTAAGGGAGGCTCTGAGAGAAAGATATAAAGAATAGGGACTTGAAGAGATAACCATTCAACCAAGTATATTAGAAATACTCTGTCCGTCGAAGTCTGCCATTCCTCTGAGGGAATCAGCGGTCTTTAAATCCAAACTTCGTCCATGTCCTGCATGGACGCATTTCCAAATCATTCTTAACAAAGCCATAAAACAACTGAGTATTAAACGATACTTGAAACCACAAGTAAAACAAACTAAGTATCAAAGGATACTCGAAACCACAAGTGAAACAAACTAAGTATCAAAGGATACTTGAAACCACAAGTAAAACAAACTAAGTATCAAAGGATACTCGAAACCACAAGTAAAAAAAAACATGAATCAAATCCTTGAACTTGAACCGAATGGACTGAACTCCAGTTCCGGTTACATCCAGCCTTATAAGCATTACCATGCTGCGGCAGTGGAAGCAGCGACACATGTGGGATGTGGTGACTTTGATAAGATAGAATTTCTTGACCAGATTGAGTCGATTCGTCAATGGACATTTAAATCATCAACAATCCCATCCGCATTTCGTGCCACAGGTCTTATTCCATTCAACCCTTCTACTGTTATTTCCAAACTACAAGAAGCTGTTCCTGCATCAAGTTTGCCTGGTACAGAAATTCTTGGATGAGATTTTATGGCCACTGGTGCTATCCCCCTCACAATCGCAAGCCTTAGAGCTCAGGAGGGAGAATTGCTAGATGATGCAAAGGATATGTCACTAGACTTCCAACACCGTCTTAAGCAAGTTCTTCTGGATGGATTGGCCCTTGCTCAATCAGGTCAACTAGCAAAGGACCACATGGCAAATACAGAAGCTACAGAGCAAGCCAGAAGTGCTAGGCGCAAGGTACAAAACCGAAGGCAAATACAAAATGGTGGAGTCATTTATGCTTCTGAGGCACATGAAAAGGTAAAAGCTAGAGAGGTTGCTGAGGTCGAAAAAGTCGAAATAGCATTACGTAGAGCACAAAAAGCTAAAAAAAAGAGGTGATACTGCAGCCCATAAACCTTTTCTTGATGCCATAAAGGCTGCATATAAAGCCAGGAGTAAGAGGGTGGCAGAGAAAAAGAGACATGAGAGGGAGCAAGCAAGGAAGGCCAGCTGAATGTAAATTAAAATACTTTCATCTTAATCTACTAGTATTGCCTTCAAATCATACAAATAACTATAAACTTATTCAAAGCCACAAATTTGCAATGGTAAGCCGCAAAGTGGTGTTGAGCCACAAAGTTGTGTGGAGCTGGTAGGCACTCTTTAGAGTGCCCTAGGTTGTGAGCCTGCGAACATCCGGGGGTTGCGACGGCATGCCGCAACCTTGGCACGGTTGTCCTAGAGAACGGAAGGTACTGAAAGAATAGGTGTACCTAAGTATCGGAAGTAATGTGACTATGTCCGCTCCAGCCTAAGGGTAGGTCAGAAGGCTGGGTGAGGTTAGCCTGTCTAGGAGAGTCACGTTACCCTGCCATGGACACCAGTTTCGTGTCACCATGGACGTACTTACCCTACCTTTGGGACATAATTGCCCTACCTTCCATCGGAAATGTTCTCACAGGAATTGCGCGAAATGTTAGGATTGTTTGTTGCGCAATGACGATCGACAAGCACTTGGTTGGAGATTGATAGGAAGGCTACGGGAGGAGCTATAGTGCTCCGAACAAGCTATAACTTTGCTGAATGATTCCTAAGAGGTACATGCGGGCCCAGGGATCGCCCCGGACATCATGGGCCAATATGGTCACAGTTGCCGTCTTACTAGTTAAATGGAATCTTTGAAGACATGTCCATAGCGCTGTACAAGTCGCTGCCGTCCGTCCGACCGGAAGCTGTTCACAGGATATATAAGCAGGCCAACGGGAGAAGGTCAGGTACCTTCTCCAAAAAGGAACCGAGCAAAACAGACCAACACTTGCGGAGTTCACTTGAGCTATCCCGAAGGGTCAACAGAGTAGTCCAGGGTGGTGCTGGGGACATCTGGGAAGGTTTTATGCCAATCAAGCCTACACGTGCCCCTTTGCGATAGGCTCTTTCTGGGTTGTTAGAAGACTCTTATAGCATGATACTTATCATGGTGAGTGGTGTACTGGGGGTAAGGGACCATGGGTAGTGCCCACGGGTTCCACTGCCCCTACAGCTCTCCCCGGGAGTGTCGTAGACCTTCTAAGTTCGCTGTCAAGCAAGATAGAACTTAACCGAAAGACACCTGATGTCTATGAGTGCTTGCACAGGTCATAGCCCATGGGAAGGGGGTCACTTGGTTAGCTCTCCCAGGATGTCTCGACAGTTAGCCACTGATGAGACCCCAATCTGCAGAGGTTTTCACTCGGGCAGGTATATTGATGAGCACCTCACAGGAACTGCTGTGCATGAGGGGCATTTCTGCTACAGTGCACTGACACTCAGCCTCTTCGGAGACACGGTGATAGTGTCAAGCAACCCGTACGGAGAAAGGGCATACTCATGTTAGTCGGGGTAACCTGATGGGGGAGTTGTTGGTATAAGACCCACTACTTAAAGAATGTACCAGAACTCTCCTACCCCAACAGAATCAACATCCTCTCAAGAGACTTGAATTGAGATAAGCTAGAGCTTAACTGAATCAAGTTTTACCGCTACTTTGATTTTTTACAATTTTGTAAGAGCGTTTATTCGAGAGATTTGAAGTTTGGTGCGGTCCCATCCTTGGGATCCATCTTCCTGAGGGAGCCCCGATTTCACTATATCATTAAGCGAGCTTCTCGCTTAACTCTCCTCCTGAATCTTTTGGTTTTGAACTGATGTTAAGAAATCATGTTTGGTTTGGCAGTCACAATGGAAGAGGAATCGTTGACGTCCGAAAGCAGTTTTGGCATTGATGATGTCTCTCTCAAAGCAGCTATTTTTAGGGCCTCCATTATCGCAGACGTAAAGGGCATCAGCAGCGCTGGTGCAAACCAGCTCCTTGAAGCAGCCTCTATCACAGTCCCTAGCTCTTGTTGCGACCTCCT